CATAATCCCGGCCGAGCTGCGGTCGCCACGGCTGCGATCGGCTCTGGGAGTTCATCATCACTGATCCAAAGGGTCTGAATTTCGGTCATATCAGATCTGAAGGAGTTTACCGGAAAGGATATGGATGAAGATAGCGCCAGAGCTTGGATCGACAAAGTGAAATCGGCGTTCCAGCGAGACCAAGCAACAGACGAAGAGAAATGCCTCACGTTCGAGGATCGGATGGTGGGATCAGCCAAGAACTGGCACCGACAGTTAAGTCGGACTACCAAAACCAGATGGGCGGATCTACTCGAAAGCTTCCAAACCCAATATTGTGGTCTGGGTATGTCAGTGGCGTGGCAATATTACCATGTCAGAAAGAGTTCCGAGGAGACCCCACTTGATTATCTGTATCGACTGAACGTGGCCGCTCTGCGAGCCAAACTCATGATCAAGGACGGAAATCCGAATGCGCGCCGGGAACACGTCGATCATTACATCGAAACGTTGGGCGATCCCGAATTGGCAGATCGCCTAACACTACTACGACTGGCTGACGTCGACGAACTGGAGGAAGTTCTCCATGCGCGGGAACGAGCTAAGAGTAGACAACGCCGATCTGCGTTCGGGTCAAACTTTCGACAGAAGGTCCCGGCCAGCGCTCCGACAGCGCCAGCCCGTTCCGCGGTACGCGCGATCCAAACGCATGATCCACGTTCCGAGTCAGACGGGGTTTCAGGATCGGACGGATCCGACGCGGAAGGTGACCTGCGAAGGACCTTCCTCGCTGCAGCAGAAGAGAAGTTGATCAGCACTGGGGGCGCCCCGCAGAACCCAGATCTAGCACGTTCCAGAACGAACGCGTCTAAGGGATCCCGGATCTCGGATCGCCGCAGCCCGGGAGACAGAGATCACCAAGATCGAGAGCGCTGTTCCCATTGTGGGTCCAGGAAACACACGGATCTGGACTGCTGGAAGCGTCTGATATGTGAAAAGTGTGGGAAACGAGGTCACCCTACGGATCGCTGTCTGTATGCGTGTCGTGGATGCGGGGATGTCCATGAAGCAGGAGAATGCCCCATGGAGGAATTCTACAATCAGATCCGCAAATGGTACGATCCGACTCGACATGCCGGGCTGTTCCCTGAACAAGTCGAGAAGATGTTAAACTAGGACGCTCGCCGGGGTGGAATCCGGTACAAGCCGAGCGTTCTAGATATTGCATCTACGCCTATGTGAACAAGGCGACGGCAGATCGAGATAGGAAGAAATCGGGTCTATGCGGTAATACATGTAATTTGCATCCATACACCACCAAGATCGCGAGTCTTCCCCAGATCAGCGAATTCAGCAGATCTAATGTGGAGGTGGCCTTAGATCTCAAAAGAGGAGAGTCCCGGGGCTATTGGAAACGTCATTCCCCGGGGAAATGGTTCCGACAAGCCAAGATTTCGGGAAAGATCAATCACGAGAGAGCGATCCTCCTCCTAGATACTGGTGCTGAGGTATCAATCTTGGACACCACCTTTGCTCGTAGGGTGGGGTGCAATTTTGACACTAGTCTGAGACAAGAATGTGTGGGAATTGGTGATAACGTATATACTACGGAAGGATGAACCAAGATCAAGATCACTCTAGCGGGGGATCTAGTCTATTTTTTCGACATTTAGATCGGGGATCTCTCAGGACAGAACGCGATCCTGGGCATGGATTTTATGGTCCCAGCCGGTGTACGGATGGACCTCGCCGACGGATCGATGCGGCTACCTGATGAAGTGGGAATACCGCTTAATGGTCGTAAGAGATTGTATGGTGAGCAGGTCAGATCGGTCACTCTCGAACAATCTCTACGAATCCCGGTCGGAAGAAACAGCGGCGAAAATAGAATTGTCGGCTACGGAGAAGTTGTGGGTCACCAGAGGAGAACGATGGGTATCGACAGTTACGGAAGGCCCCGGTCGGATCCGCTACCTGGTGATCTCGAACATCGGAGATAGGATCCTACGGTTAGATCACCGCCTGGACGTCGGCATGATACTGGATCAGGACAAAGTACCCCGATCACCAGGGTTCGTGTCCGTCGGGTCACGTCGCTACCGAGAATGGCAGAATCCGGCACTAGAATCGACCGTGAACACTAGATCTGAACCTAAAGAGTCGATGGAGTACCCGTCGGAGCCGGTAGTGCAACGACCATCGTATCCCACGCCACGATCGATACTTCGCCGGCCGGGATCCGATGAGATTGACAGAGATCAAACATGGGTATCGACCCTAGAATCTCGACCGAGGGCGGGAATTGCCGACGCAACTCAGATCGAGGCAGAATCTTCCGATCCGGGAAGAGGACGTCCATCTACGCCAACGACTAGCCCGATGCCGATCGATGCTTGCGCAGCGATGCTGAGGGCGGATGGATAAGTGAGAGCATGCCGGACCAGGCCACCGATCGGATGGATACCAATGATATCAAGACGGAAAATCAGACTGGCACCAAGGATATCGAACCGAAAACGGAAATCAAGCCCAGATCCAACTCGATCAAGCCCAGATCAAACTCGATCCCGTCAAAGAACCCGACGCAAAACTTCCGATCTGCCCGACGGAGGGCGTCGGACAACGAGATCCGCCGGCAGCAGGAGCTACAGCGACCACCCCACGGGATGCTGAGGGCGATGAGGGGATATATTACCACGATTGTGGCGATCTCGCAGCGGAAGATCTTGAAGGAAACCTGGCTATCGTCCCCGAAATCCCGATCTCGACGACTGCGAAGGTGAGCATTGAGTGGGAGACTCCGGATCGTCCTCACCCGAGGAGATCGAGAGGCTCCGGCAGCTAATCTGGAAGAAGCGACATCATCTAATCGGCAAAGGGAATGCCTTACCCCCGGCAGCCAAGGGTGTCGTATGCGATATCGATGTTGGAAATGCGAAACCAATCGCACTACAAACCCGGAAAGTGCCCACACCATTTCGTGAAAAAGTCGCAGGCCTAATCAACGGCCTCCTGGCAGCCGAGATCACCCGACCCTCGACATCGCCATGGGCCTCACCGATCGTGATTGTTCGCAAGAGTAACGGTGTGGATATCAGGTTGTGCATTGACTACAAGTTGGTAAACAGCCTCACGAGGTTGATGGTCTATCCTATGCCCCTGATCACCGATCTGCTAGAAGATCTGGATAAACCACTATGGTACTGTTCGCTGGATATGGTCAGCGGCTTCTGGGTCGTGCCCATGACGGATCGGGTTCGCAAGAGCTCAGCCTTTATCACCTCGTTTGGATTATTCGAGTGGAGTCGCATGCCATTTGGTCTAAAAAATGCCCCGCAGATTTATCAACGCCTCGTAGACAACGCGTTGTATGGATTTTTGAAGATCTCGCCATCAGGCGAAGCTGAAACAACAACGGACGTGTTCCAGACCGGGATCGCGGACGATCCTGATCGGGACTCAGTGTTGGGACGGAGATCATACATTGATGACATCATGATCGCAGCGGGATCGTGCCAAAGAGTAGAGGATCTGTTGGAGGCTTGCGATAAGTGGAATTTGTCGATCAGTGTAGCCAAGAGGTTTTGGGGCATGGATAATGTGGGATATCTGGGACATCGAGTGTCGATCGGAGGTTTGGAAGCGAGCCCGAAAG